CACACACACACACACACACACACGCTCGTTGTGGTGTGGCCTCCCAGTCTGGGGAGCACTGACAGGCCCGTGGCGGGGATTCTCTCTCAGCTCGCACTAAATGGCTGCCTGGGCCTTCTTAGGTTTCTACAGATTTTTTTAAATAAAGAAGCCTTTTTAAATTAAAAATTTTTTGGTAAAGTCATTTTCTGTCTGGCTTTGTCTGGGGCTGTCAGAGGGGAGACAGAAGAGGCTGGGTGCCCCTCACGGGCCTCCTGGAGCCCGGCACGGCCCGGCCCGGCCCCCGCCTGCCCGCACACAGGACTCTCTCACATTCCAAACCGCCGCCTGGTTTGTGTGTGAGAAAGCAGTAACCGCAGCGCATTCCCTGTGGTTCTTTACGGCTTTCCGTATGTATACTCGCTCTTTCTCTCTTCGGTTTTCCAGGGTTTTTTCCTTTAAATAAATGCTCATAAATTCTACTGGTGAAAAGGATGAAAAAACATACCGAAAAGGAGCAGTTTGTTGGGGGGAAAGAAAAACACGAAGCTGGATGTCGAGAACTGAGCCTTGTTTAGCATTCTATACGTAGGAAATAAATTTTTTGGAAAGTGAAGGTTTTATGAAAAAGAGATTATTCTGTAATATCTCTAAAACTTACGTGTCTAAGTCTTGAGCTTTCATTTGATCAACTTAACCGCCAGCCCTCGCCTCCCTGGGTTTGCTGTGGGGGGCCCGTCCTGGGAGGGAGACCCTGCCGGGGTGCGTGTGGGACCTTGAGTAAGTTGGATGATCCAGAGGCTCCCTGTTTTTATAACTACAAAGCAAGGGCGCTGGACTAGCAGCATTTAAAGGAGCCTTTCATCTGGGGCAGTGGTTCTCAACCTTCTGGCCCTTTAAATACAGTTCCTCATGTTGTGACCCAGCCATAAAATTATTTTCGTTGCTACTTCATCACTGTAATGTTGCTACTGTCATGAATCGTCATGTAAATATCTGATATGCAGGATGGTCTTAGGCAACCCCTGTGAAAGGGTCGTTGACCGCCAAAGGGGTCGCGACCCACAGGTTGAGAACCGGTGATCTGGCGAGTTCCACAGCTTATAATTAAATCAGACACTTGATAAACGAGAAAGAGACTGATTTGGAGGCCCCTTCAAAGCATCTGCGGCAGACTGCCCTCCCCATACCCATTCTCCCCTTCCTCCTGACCAGCAGAACCCCAAGTTTCATTTGGGGAGCAAGGTGCCCTTACACCTGGGCGTGGCCACCCGACACAGTCCCAGCCAATAAGATGTGAGTTTAAATCCATAGCTGGCTCACATTTTTTGCCCCTCGCCTCTCCTGCCTGGACTTCAGTTATATGATGGAGGTAGTCTAGGGGTCAGAATGACAGCAGAGTGGCAACACAGATCAGGCCACAGGCGTCCGGTCGCCAGTGCATGAAGGCGCCGCTGAACCAGAGGGAACGGCCCACTTCGGATGACTTCTTGTTCTGTGATAGAAAGAAGCCCCTGGTCTGGCTAACCCACCGTGAAGCGGCTTTCTGTCACATAATGCTAACTCTAGTCCTCATTTGTACGAGGAGGAGGAGGAGCAGCAATCCTTCAGCAAATATTTAGTTCTACTATGTGCCTGGTGAGGCCCTGAGTGAGGATGAAGAGCCCAGACATGGTCCCTGCTCTCCTAGAGTCGCAAATCAGTGGTGGAGACAAACAATAACACATAGACAAAGGCACCCATTAATTATTATCATTGCTACAGAGAAAACAAATAAGGCCTTGGAAAATAGAATAATAGATCTGCTTCCAGTGGGTGGGCCTGGAATAGGGGTCCTCAAACTATGGCCCGCAGGCCACATGCAAATACAAATATTGTATTTGTTCCCGTTTTGTGTTTTTTTGTTTTTTGGTTTTTTTTGCTTCATAATAAGATGTGTGCAGTGTGCATAGGAATTTGTTCATAGTTTTTTTTTTTAACTATAGTCCGGCCCTCTAATGGTCTAAGGGACAGTGAACTGGCCCCCGGTTTAAAAAGTTTGAGGACCCCTGGCCTAGGACTAGTGAGGAAAGGATATTGAAGGGGAAACCTTAAGAAGTGGCTGTTTGAAGAAAGAATGAGAAGAATATTCCAGACAGGAAGGACCCACCCATGCAAAGGCCTCTGGCTGGGAAGGAGTGGAAGGAACTGAGAGGGAGCCTGTGAACTTGGAGCTGGTGAGCGAGGTAGTGAAACAAGACGGGAGAGGCAGGCAGGGCCGGCCATGCCGCACCTGGGGCAGGTTGTATTTTAAGTCACTGGAGGATTTTAAGGAGAAAGTTGCATTCTAAGGAGGTATCCACCCGAAAAGCAGTTTCAGCCCCAACTTTGGTGGGCTCTTGGCTGCACAGATCACGCCAACATGGCTGTGGACGAAAGGCTCCCAGCCCATCGTCCAAAGGGGCTTTGGGCATATGACTCAGGCTCACCTGAAGGCCAGTCCCAGGCTTGGCACTCGGGGCTGTGTGCCCTTTTGCCACTATCCTCTCTGAGCTTCCTCCGCTGAAAAGGAGGACGGTAATAGCCCTGCCTCTTAGAGCTGAGAGGAGGCCATGTGTCGAATCCTGTCGTGCATTGGGAACCATGCCTGGCACATAGTAAGTGCTAGAAACGGGTTTGTTGTTCTCACTGTCCCTGGGAAATCCACCAGGGTCCAGACACTCCCGCCTCTAGGGCAGTGCGTCTCCAGCTCCGCGTCACCTGGGTCCCCTCCCCACAGAGTCTGGCTCCGCAGGTCTGGGGTGGCCCAAGAATTTGCATTTCCCACAAACTTCCAGGTGCTGCGGCCTGTGGTCTGCAGACCACACTGCTTTAGTCCAGGGCCATGCAGCCCTTTGGGAATATTTTGGAGGAGGATGACCAGCCTCGCACTGTTGCAGCCACCTTCAGCCCTAATGGGCCATGCCGGGGGTGGGAGACCAAAGCCCCACCGCCCCTGGAAGATGCCAGCATGTTTCCTCTGGGAGGCAGGCGAGCAGGGATCAGCTTTTAAGGGACCTCTGATCTCCTGGGCAGATGGAAAAAAAATGCTGAACTGAGGAGTCCACCCCAAAGATTCCGTTTCAGCCTGGGGGTGGAACACAAAAATATTCATGTTAAATGACTCCCCACGAACTCTGCTGCAGGTGTGGCCAAAGAGTGGTTTTTGTGACGGGGATCTTGTTTTTAGGAAAACCCAAGTTCAAATGTCCTTCAACAACTTTCCAGCCGTGTGGCCTTGAATGGTTTTTTTAAACCTCTCCAAATGGTGCTTTCCTTAACTGAAAAATGAGCTTATTAATACCAATAATATCCTCCCCGTGAGGATGAAATACAAATATTTATGCAGAGGGCATAAACGTTAAAGTCACAGACTCCAGTGTGCACAGGTATAACTCGCTTTATTTATCTGCAGTTTATATTCACTTAGCCCATGACCTCGTATTTCCACGTAGAGCAGAAAACTGCAGCTTTGAAATTCTAGATCGCTCACACAGCTTCCAGCTTGAAAAATCCTCCGTCTCTTTTGGGAAACTGCAGCCCGAATGGGGATTCTCTCCTCCTCTGTTGCTGGCTCATCCCCTGGAGATGCTCTGTGTCCTTCAGGGGTCCGTTGCCCTGACTTTCTCAGGCCTCCCACCTGGCACCTCTGGACCTGGGCTCCGGCCTCTCCCCGGGGCTTGGCCTTCTTGCCTCTACCTGGGCCTCCTTACCTGAACCCTTCTTGTCTATTTGCTCAGAGCTCTCCACAGCTGCGCCACTGAGGTGTCCCCAGCCGAATCCCTGGCTCTAATCATTTGCCCAGACCCCTTGCTCAACGATTATTTAGCTACCGCTCACGTGCCGTGTTGGAATGGGCCTGACCTATAGTTTTAATCATCACTGATGTCCTCCTTCCATTAACTGGTCCAACCTCTGTTCTTTGACAGGTTGGATGAAAAGAGGGACTTGTCCTGATTTCACCCCACTTTCTTCCTTGTCGGTGATTTATAGTAAAACCCTGTGTTTTGCATCTTGCAGGGGCCAATCCAGGGATACCCACAACAACAACAAAAGTCTGGCCCTTATGAATAAAATGTCTTGCTTTCTGCTTCAGATTTACCCAAATCCATCCAGCTCTCCAGCTGGCCTCTTGCTTCTTGGGGGTACCTGCCCTTACCTGAAGGCAGGGCACATAGACCCATTACTCTGCTCCCCAGTGGTGGCGGCGGGGAAATCAAAAGGTATAAGGAAGCCTGAGGATGGGGGAAAGGGGTGATATTTTGTCTATACCCCTTTCTCTCCCTTAATAAAGTGTTTACTTAGCACATGGCCTGGCCTGAACTAACTGCTAAGTGCATGACCACCATGATGAAACGGGGAAGAGGAGGAGAAGGGACTTCTTCTCCCTGAATGTGCAGTGCTTTGCTGTGCCGGCTCTGATAGGCTCTCACTCTGTGTTCCCAAGACTAGGGAAGCCTATGAGGGCGCCCAGGAGGAGCAGGTCACACCAGTGACTCGCTCAGTTTCATTTACCAGGTGAGTGGGATCTTACGGGGTGAGTGGAATCTTCTGAGTGGGGCCTCTGAAATGTGCCCCTGCCCCTAACCAGCATGGGCAGTGAAGCAGGAGAGAAGAAGGCTGCCTCTCTGTGCCTACCTCTCCCCCAAGATGCTGGAAATGCCAGCACTGGAGATCCACTCTTAGATCAAACATTGTCCCCTCCGGGGTCACCTTGAGATGTACATACCACTAAGAGGACAATGTGTCTGTTAGCAGCTCCTAGGGCAGTGATGACGAACCTTTTGAGCTCGGCGTGTCAGCATTTTGAAAAACCCTAACTTAACTCTGGTGCCGTGTCACATATAGAAATTTTCTGATATTTGCAACCATAGTAAAACAAAGACTTATATTTTTGATATTTATTTTATATATTTAAATGCCATTTAACAAAGAAAAATCAACCCCAAAAAAATGAATTCGCGTGTCACCTCTGACACGCGTGTCATAGGTTCGCCATCACTGGCCTAGGGGGTGAGGTATCTGTCCTGGGCCCTGAGAACATTGCCAGAGAAGAAAAGGCAAGACCTCATCCTCCTGAATACCTGGGGAGAGAAGAGGCTTTTCGAGCTGTCACTGCCCCCTCCTCAATGCTGAGTCCCAACGGGGTGGTGGCCAGTGTAAGAGGCCACCAAGCCTGTTAAACTTGGTTTATTTTCTAAGGGGTCGTGGCAGGGTTTGCAGGAAGGGGTGTATAATTTGGGGTTCAGGAGGAGCCCCAGGCCTTGGGGAGGAGGGTGACCTCTCCTGCTCTGCCCTCGATCATGCTGCTAGTAGGGGTGTCTCAGGATGTGCTTCAAGATGGTCCGAATTGCCATCCACGTCTCCTGGGCCGTGGGGATGATCTGTGTGGCCGGTAACAGGAAACCATAGCGCCCAGTGTCCCGGAGCTCAAAGCTGAAGGAGTACTTGATGCCACTGTCATAGGCCCAGTCGACGGTGATCCCACTGGCCATATCTGGATACAAAAGGGCAAGGAAATGCCCCCGAATGGAAGAACAGGGTGTGACCACAAGGAAAGTGAGCCTGGAGGCCAAACCCCAACCCACCTCAGACCCACCAACCTCCCAACCCAGGCCTTAACTTGGACCACACCCTGCTCACCCAGCCCGTTCTCTGCCCGGCAAACCTTAAGGCTACTAGGCATGGGATCTTTGCCCTCCAGGAATGCTACAGAAAGCCAGGCATTGGGAGCTGTGCGCTAGTGAATGCAGTAAAGAAACAGCTCCGTGGTTAGGAAATCAGCTCTGGCCCAGCTAGACCTATGGCACTGCCGTGACCAGCCAGGTCTGCCAGACAGCCAAGAGCCTACACCTGCCCGCCCCGGGTGGATGTGGCGCCTGAAGAAGCGGCCAGGGGAAGGCTCACTCACAGAGGGTGGTGCTGATGCTGCCGTAAAGGTACTTGATCCCGTGGACCTCGTACAGGGCCTGCACTGCTCTCTTGGCAAGATTGTACTGCAGGATGACATCCAGCGGGTGAGGCTGGGGCTCCCCACACCGCACACCCTTACCAGCTGCTGAGAAGCAGGGAGTTGGGAGTCCTGGAAGTTGCATGTGTAGATGGCTCTTGTGAGAAGGGAACACAGACCCTCCAACTTTGGACGTGATCACACATGAGACTGAGATCCCTCCTCCTCCCTGCCATGAGGTCACTTGTCCAGACCCTTGTTTCAGAGTGAGGGCCTGAGCCCTCTGGGAGTCTGCCAGATGCCTCCCCCAAGCCCTAAGTGGCCAATCTCACCAACTCCTCCTGGTTTGAAATAGGCTCCAGCGAGTGGCCATAAGGGTACATGAGCATCTGAGAGTAGCTGTGGATGGAAATCAGAGCCTTGATGTTCCCGTGGGCGGTGATGAAGTTCGCAACGGCAGACACCTCTGGCTCCGAGTGCGGGTAGGGCCCATGATACGTCTCTGAGCATGGGTTGTCCTTAGAACCATTTCCTGGAAGTCAAACAAAACCACCCAAAGAGTTCAGACTCCTCGGTTTCAGAAAGACACTGAGTGCTCACAAAATACCCATCTATTCTCTACATTTCCCAGCCTCCTTTGCAGTTTGGTTGAGACCATGTGACTACTCCTGACCATGACAATGTGTGCAGTAATGATGTGTCACTTCTAGTTCGAGGCTGTTAAGAGTAGGCATGACTTCTTCATACTCACTTCTGATGCTGTGTGGTTGGAAGCAAAAAACTCTAGATCAGCAGTTCTCAACCTGTGGGTTGCGACCCCTTTGGGGGTCGAACGACCCTTTCACAGGGGTCGCCTAAGACCATCGGAAAACACATATATAATTACATATTGTTTTTGTGATTAATCACTATGCTTTAATTATGTTCAATTTGTAACAATGAAATTGGGGGTCACCACAACATGAGGAACTGTATTAAAGGGTCGCAGCATTAGGAAGGTTGAGAACCACTGCCCTAGATGGAGGAAGTGTCCTGGATCCCTCTGTCACCATCGGAAGAGACCTGCCAAGGAGAGCCACTGTCCACATTGGACTTTGTGTGCATGAAAAACAAACTTTTGTTGTCTTGAGCCACTGGGATTTGGAGGGGTATTTGTTACTGCTGCACACCCTAATCTAATACCACATTGTGACTCAGCAATTCCTGTAAGGAGTTCCGTGGGTTTGTCTTTTGGGTAAGTCCTGACTGTGGTTCCATTAAAGAGGTGGGCCTGCCTCAGCCATCACCTCCAGAGGAAACTCTAGGTCTCCAACCCCAGCTTCCCCTACGAGCAATGACCCCTTTGAGCTGACCCTTCATTGCCATCCTTCCATTGCCATGGGGAAGGCTTGGGTCAGTTGAAAGCTCGAACTCAGTGTCTGCTCAAGCTGTGCCACAGCTACAGCCCCAGGAGCCACATGGACTAGGGGCCAGAAAAAGAGAGAACAGATCTCCATAGTTACCCGAGGCTAATCTGGGAACCACAGATACAACAAGTCTTTGAAATTTCTTCTTGGGGTCCTAAATTCGGGGAGAGGGCACAGAGGAGCTGTGCCTCTATTTTGTTCACAAATTCAATTTGTCCCCATCTCCTCCTAGGTTCTTTGCCCCCCACCTCTTTCCCTCCTATTTTGTTTTCCTCCCTCCCAAAGGGCTATGTTGTGGAGGGCTGGGCTGGGCTGGTCAAGATTTGTGGGTTACAAACACATTTGGAAAGAACCATCACAGTTTCTCCTCTCGTTCGTCCCCCCTGAAATGACTACACATAAGCCTGGTCCAGAGGCCAAGGGTCGCTCCAATATCTGGAGGGTTCTGAGGGTGCCAGAGCACCTCTTTTGACCCCCAGGGCCGAGGGCTGGCTGGAGAGCCAGGGGCTGGCCCATGGACCAGTTCAGATACTGCTCTGAGACTGCAGCAAACCGCTCCTCCCCAAGAGTGCAGGTGAGGGCGGTGTGTGTGGGAGGGATGATCTACAGATTACTCATTATGCGGCAGTTAAATTAAGGTAATAATAAAACCATAAACAAAATCTTCCTGCCTGAGTCACCAACCCAGACACACTGTTATTCCTGGCCAGAGGCAATTCTGTCACCGGAAGCGCATCCCCTCTTGGCGCATCCCCTCTTGGTCTTCAGGTCCTCACCTGGGGTGGGGACCCAAGCTGGAAGGGATGTGCTTGCAGGGAGCCAGGGTGTGAGGAGCAGCCCCAGGCTGGAGTCCGCATGCTAACAGGGGCCCCGATTGTTGTGTCTCCCAGGAGCTTCTGCACCTGCTACACTTGATGAATGACAAATAGCAACAGATGAGCAGAGCGGGGGAGGCTGAGAGCTTTGTCTGCATTTGCAGCCCACGCATGGAAAGCCGTTCCCCTGCCAACGACCAGGTGGCTTTGCCCAAATATGGAGGAACACTTCAGGCCATTAGTTCTGGTTTGAGCTGAGCAGAATAAACTAATCTTCCCCTGACCAAATGGGAATTAGCTGCCTGCCTCTCTCTGCCGCTCACAAAGCCCTCTGCGCCTGCCTGTTTCACAAGTACCTGCTAATGGATTCATTAGCTATTTATTTTTCCTTCTCTAAAAATGTAATTTGTAGCAAGGGGAAATCTCTGGAAAGACTTGGTAAATTATTAAAAGCAGCAATCTTTGAGTAGTGGGATTATGGGAGCTTTTTGTCCCCTCGGGGTATATATATATATATATATATATATATATATATATATATATATAACATTGTGTGTTTATTGATTTTTTTTTTTCCTGTGGTGAAACAACAAACATTATTTTTTTTAAGAAGTAATTTGTCTTTCTAGCCAGTCCGTCTCAGGGTCTGTGGGTACACACTTCAGCCGGTTCTAAGGGACAGCATGGATGACTGCTTGGGGCAGGTGTCCGGCCATTTGGAGGTGGAAATGCCCAATTTTACACAGTTGTGTTCCCTTACACAGGCGGTTACACACACAGCCTCAGATGTCAGGAAACCCCCACAGTGTGGACTGGGGGGCTTCTCCCTGGATGCTTCAGAGCTGCCCTTACTTTTCAATGAGAGCCGACTCAAAGAAGCCAGGTTTTCAAAGTGGCCGGCACCCGGATCTAGAATGTTCTATCTCTTTGCTTTAGCCACCCAACTGTGGATCTGTGCTTTTTTTAAAAAAATATATATTTTATTGATTTTTTTAAAGAGAGGATGGGAGAGGGATAGAGAGTTAGAAACATCGATGAGAGAAACATCAATCAGCTGCCTCCTGCACTCCTCCTACTGGGGATGTGCCCACAACCAAGGTACATGCCCTTGACCGGAATTGAACCTGGGACCTTTCAGTCTGCAGGCCGATGCCCTATCCACTGAGCCAAACCGGTTAAGGCTGGATCTGCTTTTTAACAGCAATGGCACTGTCTCCTGTGGAGCCAAACCCCAACCAACCCCCCAGCACGGTGCGGGTGCCACATCTGGGGGCCAAGGGCTGTGGCCATGCAACCTCTCCCCTGGACACTGTCCTAGCTAGAACCAGCCTCCCACCCATTAAAGTGCTGGGTTCCCAGGTCCACATACTCGTCTCTGGGCTTTCTGGAGGCCTCAGTTTCCTCATCTGGTCCCCATGCACCTGGCATGGTAAGGGAAGAATCAGGAAGAATACCAGGGAACCGGGAGGAAGCTGCCCACCCCTCCCTGGACTCATACAGTCCGGCAGATAAACCCCGCCAGCAGCTCAGGGTTACAAAGTCATTGGGTCAAAAATAAAGAAATAAAAACAGGCTCAAGTAGTATTGATGATAAGGAATTGGCTTATTCTATATTTGAAGTATTGTTCCGGTCTCCCCAGAGGGCAAATTTCAGGGTGCAGCTCTCAGGAAATGAGTTTGGAGGCATTTTCTTGTGGCCTGCTCTCTTCAGGAAAGGCTCGAGGCATTTCAGGGGCATCATAAACTCTGAATTTTAAACAACCAGCAGGATAACCTGGTACCTCCTTAAGCCCTTCTCTGCGTATTTCGGATTTGGCCTTTGCAGTTACGCTGTTTCCATGTTTCTCATGAGGGCTTAGCACATGCGTACATTTCCCACACGTGTGCAACCTGTGCCCGTATCTCACAGCCAGCCCTAGGCACGCGCTCGCCTGTCCCTGGCCATGACTCACTTGTATGAGCTAACTACATTGCCTCCCTAGTCCAGGGTCACCATAATCTGACTGTGTGGGAGACGCATCAAGGACCAAGTTCTTCTCCGGGCCCGCCCGCAGGTCCGGCAGGTAGCCTACCTCCAAAGCCTGACCTCCAGTTCCTGTTCAGATCCACACCAATGCAGGCGATTCCGGGTTGGTTGGACTTGTTCTTCCGCCACAAGCGGTTCTGAGAAAGCCCAGGACGATGACCTCATTACTGAGCCCATTCCCTGGGTGGGAGCCCCTGGCATCCTGGCCTAGGAAGGAGGGTCTGGTGGGACAGGGAGGACAAAGTGAAGGAATCTCTGGGGCAGGAGCAGGGGGCATGGGGCTGGACCAAGGCTGCAGGTCAGACTCTTTGCGGTTAAAGCCAGGATGCAAGCGGGAGGTCAGAGGACAAGGGCTGCGGCTTCAGCCCTGAGCGGCCCACCTTCCTCGTTGAGACTCCGCAAGGAACCCGAGGGGCAGGCAGGCCCCAAGGGAACCTCAGCTCAGCTTCCCAAAGCAGAAGTGACCTTTTCCCCACACCCCAGAGCCCCTGACCCCCTCCCTCCCAGGTGCCCTCACCATGCTGTGGGTAAAAGCAAAGCCGTCAGGGTTGGAGACGATCTCCAGGAAGATGTCCATGGTGTTCAATAGGCTTGTCAGGATGTAATCTCTGCCATAGTCACTGACAATCTGCAAGAAAAAAACAGAGTGGGACGGGGTGAGGGGCGGAAGGCCCCGCTGGGCTCTCCTCCGAGGTGGGGCAGGACATTTGCACAGCCAGTGCTGCAGGCAGCGAGGACACCAGGCCATGAGGCACATCCTTCGTACAGAAGCAAAGGCTTGGGTTTTAAGCAAATAAAAGGCAGAGGCTAGATGGGAGATCTGTGCTGCAAAAGACCAGCTGGCAGCTGCTCCAAAGGGCAGAGAGCACCCTGAGTTTTAAAAAACCAAGTATGATATTTCATCTGGAGGTGCCTTTAAATAGTCAAGCAGCCCCCGCCCCCTGCCCCAGCCCCCATCCTCCGTGCTGACCTGCTTGGCAGTCCAGATGCCGGTGGCATGGGTGATCCACTCCCTGGAGTGAATTCCAGTGTCGATCCAGATGGCCTGGCGCTCAGAACCTCCGGTGCTAAACTGGAGGAAAGCACCGGGACCCATACAAGTTTGAACGGAGGCAGCTACACGGCTGTCCCTGGGCTGCCGGGAAGGAAGCCCCGGATGTATCCTCACTGTCTGGGGTGATCCTAGAAGCCCGAGATGGGGGGCTGTGTGTGCAGGTTCCTGTGCATGAGCCCATGAAGTGCACACGTGCTTGAATCCTGGCAGCACAGCACTGCTCCGGGAGAGCAGTGATCCGGCCAGAAGCACAGAATTGCCCCCGCCTGTAAGTATCGTAGACACTTCTGGTGCTTCTCCAACGTTAAAGGTATGAGACCTCCCCGGGCATCTTACAAAAATGCAGATTCTAATGCAGTATGTCTGGGGGGAGGGGTCTGAAGTGGGGCATGTCTAACAAGCTCCTGCGGGTGCTGCGGCGACGGGTGCGGGTGTGAGGACCACACTTTGAGTAGCAAGGTTTCTGACAACTAAAGAAAGAACACGGAAGGCCCTGGGGTGAGTCACCGCAGAGACAGACAAAGGCAGGTCTGAAGTTTGGGGAGATCACTTGGCCTCAGAAGAGCCCCCCGGGCACTGCAGAGCTCTGCGGCTGGATGTCAAATGCCCTGCACGGTCCATGCTCCTGAGGGCCCTTTGGGGCACGTGCTAAGAAATGCTTTCTGGCAGGTTCCACACTCTACTCTATTCTGCCTCCCTCCTGACCAAGGACACTGCCGCCGCTAAGTTTGCTCAAGCTCTGTTGCCAAGGGTCCTTGTGAAGGGCTAGGAGGTCCCCCCACAGACTCAGGTCTACCTGGGGGGCTGCCTGAGCCAGACAACCTCAGTCATTTGTAAATGAGGCCTCGCTGTGCGTACCTCTCTTCCCATTTAGATGAAGTAACTGAGGAAACAGGAAGAAGGCTGACTCACCCACGCTCGTCCCCCACATCCAGGGTGGGACCTGCCACTCTGCCAGTCCACCTTCGTGGCAACCCTCCCGCCTACTGCCTGGCCCAGGACATGCCAGGCCACCACACTGTCACCTGTCCATGCCTACAAGGGCGGGTCCCTGATTACCGCAAACCCAAAGTTTATGGGTCACTTCAAGACAAGACAGGAGTATACACATCTTCTCTTTCCCTAAAACTTCCACCCAGCCCTGGCCAGTGTGGTTCAGCCCATTGGAGTGTCGTCCTGTGCACCGAAGAGTTTCATGTTCGATTCCCAATCGGGCCTCATGCGGGAGGCAACTGATTGATGTTTGTCTCTCACACTGATGTTTCTCTCTCTCTCTCTCTCCCCCCCTCTCTCTGAAGTCAATGAACACATCCATCCTTGGGTGAGGATTTAAAAAAATAAATAAATAACAACCTCCTATCCAGTCACGACCCCACATGAGCTCAATCTTATGCCAGAGGCTCTCACTGTAGAGTCTAGTGGTCAACACTGCTAGCTTTTACCTTCAGGACAAGAATGGATCGATTTTCAAAGCTGTGGCCAATCTGAATTTTTGAGACAAGATCCGCATGCTCAGTGACGAAGCTGTCGATCCAGCTATATATCTGAAAGGAATGAAGTTTATCAGATGGGCAGTTAAGCAAGACGAGGGTGAACCCCAGGACCTCTCTGAATAGTCTCCTTCTCCCATCCCACCCTCCTTACTACTTTCCACCTCTCGTGAGGCTCTGAACAAACCCACATCAAAAACTAAAAGAAGACAACCTCCAGGCTGAAGGCAAAAGGCTGTGGTGGGCCTGGGTTCTAGGGCTGCTCACCACCAGGCAGAGCGAAGACTTTGCCTGGAAGAACAGCATGTGCTGACCCTACTCAGTGCCCCAGGGCCGGCCTGCAAGTCTCTCTCAGGATGGAAGTTTCTTTTGCTTCCATTCACCACATTTGACAGATCGCATAGACCTGGCAATGTCGTTTTGGGCCTCCTTGCTCCTTTTGGATTCTAAGCCACTTGAAAGCAGGGTGATTTATCTCTGATATCAGTAAACACTGATACGCTATGTTACTTTGTTCTCTTAGTCTTTCAATACATGTCATGAATTAACAAATGTATGAAAGAACGTGGATTCTCCATTACAGGCCTTGTGAAATGGGACGAGTGAAGAAGAGGGTAATGAAGTGGGCCAATAATGTCACACCCTTCCTATGGAAATGGGAGCTGTGCCCTGAGTTAGTGTCTCTGAGCTCTCCTTGCAGATTCTCCTTCATAGACAAGTCACAATCAGTCACACCTGCCCTAACGGGCTGTGACTGTGCTTATGAAGGCAGCTCTGTTCTACAAAATGGCTCTCCAACACGCCTGGCTTCCCGCCCTTTCTACACTCTAGTTCCCACTGCTGGGGCCACTTAACACCAGGAGTGGTCGTGGTGAGGTCAGGGCCCCTGGACTCCTAGCCAGAGCTAGATAGGAAAGTGCCTCTACCTGCGCCATTCTGGCCAGTGGCGGGTCCTGCCTTAGTGTCCCACCTAGGAGACCATCACTCTGGTCCAGGACCCGCCATGGGCTGACTGTTGAGCCGCGGTCCCCTCGATCTAAATCCTGGCTTCTGGATCTCGGAAGCTGCCTACCTAACGGACCTTCACCCAATGTCTGCCCCACACTCTCCAACTGCCAGTTCACCGTCTCCCATAGACCCCAGAGTCCTTCACTAGCCTCTGCCAGAAGCTGGAGATCCTGAGGACCCCAAGGGAAGACAGAGGCCGGAGCTTGACCTAGCAGACCTACCTCCTCCAGGGTGTGGTAAGAGGAGTAACTGAAGCTGCTGGTGCTGCGCTCCAGCCGGCGGGATTTCGCCATGGCCTCTCTCTCCTGGTCCAGCAGCACCTAGGTGATGGGGACACATGTCGGGAGGGAAGGGGTGGGGTGGGACAGGCATGTCCCTTCCGAGCCCGGCCTCAGGTGGCTGCGCACAAAGACAGCATCAACACAGGAGAATGAGCCCCCATGAGCATGAGCTGCGAGATAAGAGGGGACGCTGGGTTTCTAGGAGACCCTTCTGCTTGGCAAGCTGGTGTTCACGATGCCATTTCCCAGACAAGCACAGGGCACGGAGCAGAGAGCCGTGTTCTAAGTCTGCCACTGCTACTCACTTGCTGTGGGACCTTAGCCTTCGCTTCCTCAGCGTGATCACTGGGACAGCAACACCTGCCTTGCCCATCTCATGGGATAAAATGTAACCATGGGTCTGGACGTGTTTTGGAAAAGATGCCCATGTTGTACTGCCAGCATCACCTTTGCCCTCTGTGAACATTCGGTTGAGTTAAGGCCTGCACTGAGCCATGAACACTGACCACTGGGGAGCAGAGCGCTCCTCAACATCCACTCTACCCTCAGGAAGTGGCCTAGACAATTGGTGTCCAAGCCATTTAGAAAGCCAGTCCAAAGCATTATGATTAAAGTGCCAACAGACTTTCACTTACCATCTTCACTGCCCCTTAATTATATCTAGATATAGATATAAATATAGGTATAGCCCTAGCCAGTTTTGCTCAGTGGATAGCGCATCAGCCTGAGGACCAAAGGGTCCCGGGTTCGATTTGGTAAACGGCTCGTACCTTGGTTGCAGGCTCCTCCCGCATCCCAGCCCTAGTCAGGGTTCATGCAGGAGGCAACCAATGGATGTGTTTCTCTCACATCGATGTTTCTGTCTTTCCCTCTCTCTTCTACTCTCCCTAAAAATCAATCGAAAAATATCCTCGGGTGAGGATTAAAAAAAGATAGATAGATAGATAGATAGATAGATAGATAGATAGATAGATAGATACAGATGATATAGAGATAGATATAGAGATACAGATCTGCACACGTAGATATACATGTATGTATATAGATATCTCTTTGTGTCTGTGTGTGTGTATACACAGAAAGAGCAAACAAATATGTAAAATGTAAACAACAGGTGAAAAGTCCATCCTATTATACTTGCAATTAAAAAGCGTTTTAAATTAATGAGAGAACAACATCATGAGCCAAGAACAGCAAGACACTAAAATACTAAAAATTATATGAAAACGCTAACAATGGCTGTTAGGATAGAAGAATTAGGATTCGACACAATTTTTTTCTTTTCTCTGCTTTTGCATTTGGGCAACATTCTTATACCACTCCAATAAGTAAGATCTTCTACGTGAATAAATAATACTAAAACAAAAACAAAAAAGCCCTAGCGATGAAAATACCGTGGCAGCCACGGAGCCCTCAGGCCCAGGGCTGGAGAGAGCCCTCCCCGGACCTGCTGCGCTCCGGGCACTGTGGCCCCAGTGGCTCGCTCACGACCTCGCTCAGGTTCACAGGTTAGGCTAGGACTGGAAACCCATGTTTGGGGCTCATTTTATTGCTTATTGAGCACCGACTACATTTGAGGCAATTGTACTTGCCGTGCTTCCTGGCGGGACTAGCTGGGCTGAGGACGGTGCCAGCTGGACCAGGCCGGGGCTACCGGTTGAGTGAGAGGTGATGGGAGGGGTCCTGACCCTTGCTGGCACCAGCACCACCCTGGGAAGCCCTAACAAAAGGAATTTGTCTTCTTCACAGGAAATCAACGGACATCTCAGCAGCCCCCCATGACCCATGTGTGCCGGGCACTGAGCCGGGCACTGCCAGCTGTGGGAGCAGCTGCAGGGGAGAGAGCAGGCCTGTCCAGGTCACCGGACTCAGGGCCCATCCGCCCCTGCTCGGGCCCCAGCAGAATAAAGTTAAAGAATGCGTAAGTCAAACAAACAAAAAAAAGAATCCATAAGTCTAACTTTCTGGGGACTGGTGGAGGCCAGCGGTGGGGGAAGGAGCGGGACAGGAAGGAGAAATTGGAAAGAAAAGGCCAGGGGCCCCCTCTTCCCACACAGCCCAGGGACACCCACAGGAAGACAGCTCCCACAGGCTGTGCTTTGTTCCACACAACAGCTTGGAGGCAAATGGGAAGTCGGCACCAAACTGCAAATATCTTTCCAAATACCCTCGCAGCCCTGTGAATGGATCTGACACCGCTCACACACTGGGAATGCTCAGCCGGGCCCCAATTCCAGGAACATTAATCTACCCTGGCCCGAAAGAGACACAGATGTTTGCTCCCCTCACAGGGCCCAGGGAAGGGGATGGGAGGGCTAAGAATGCAGCCTTGCCACAGGCTCAGGAATGCCTAATTACAGCCCTGTCAGGCTGCTCTGAGAGGAAAGGGAGAGAGAGAAAAACCTCAGAAGGCAGCCATTTGCCTCCCTGGAAGCCAAAACCTGACAGGGAAAGTAATACCTCCATGTGAATTAATTTATGACAGGAGTGAGGAAGGACGGGGGGCATTAAGCAGAGAACAGCACCTCCAGGAAGAGGGAGGGGAGGAGACGGAGGGCCCCCAAAAGTGAAGTTGACAGCGGAGGGAACTCACTGGGCAGCGGGGCTCGGACCACAGACAGGAAATGGACACAGCTCATAGAATCAGTGGTGGGGGGAGGGGTGCTGACCCCGCGCTGTGACCACAGCAGTCCCTCTCCTCAAGGGCCCTGCCCTGCTCTTCCAGGCCTAACGTTTGCAATAGCAGCTACACGGCGGGCGGTAACTACAGTCCATGCCTATGGGGGGTTGGGGGGAAGGTAATAGAGTGGGGGTGTTAGAATGGACCCCCTGACAGGTCAAGGCTAAACTAGGCTAAACTGCCCAAAAGGCAGCTTAAAACACCACACAAACAACGACGACAACCTCTGAGGAGGCAGATGGCACAAGGGCGAAAGGTGCCGGGCCTGGAGCAGCTGTCTCGGATGAAATCCCGACGTCTCACTGACTTGGGCAAGTGACTAATTGCTCTGTGTCTCCATTAAATGGGAGTCATGTTATCACATACTTTAGCAGATGTTCTCATGAACATTAGAAGGGTTAATACGCCTAAAATGCTTAGCACATCACCTAACATGTAGAAAATCCTAGCTGTGCTAATGACCGTGACAATGACAGGACAACAAGAGTCGCTCTTGGGGTGACTCCAGGACTCTGAGATAGAGCAATCATTGCGAGGCATGACCAGGAAATCTGGATTCCTCCCGCGGGGAGTGGTGTGTGTAGGGCTTGGGAAGGCAGAGCACTCTCATGAATGGTCGCTTGTGTGAGTCAGTGAGCACCTGCTCCCGCCGAGGATTAGTCCTTCTGTCCATGGCCCCCTAGTGCAGCCGGACTCTGCCTCTCCCTCAGGGCCTTACCCCTGATGGCCTCCTCCTTCCCTTGCCTTCTCCTGCACTCATCCCTACCTGTCCTCCTCTTCTCTTTATTTATTTATTATTTTTTAATCAATTTTTTAAAGCCTCACCTGAGAATATTTTTCCATTGATTTTTTAAAGAGAGGGAAAGAGAGAGGGAAAGACAGAGAGAAACATCAATGTGAGAGAAACACTTCGCTTGGTTGCCTCCTGCAGGCACCCCGAACTAGGGGAGGAGACTGCAACCAAGGTACATGCCCTTGACCGGAATCGAACTTGGGACCCTTCAGTCCACAGGCCAATGCTCTATCCACTGAGCCAAACCAGCTAGGTCCCTCCTCTCCTCTTTAGAGCTGCCCCCCCACCCCCACCCCACCCCAGTCAACAGCATTTCTACTTTTGAATCTCTTCCAAACAAGTGTTTATTGAGCACACTGAACACTAAAGATATGGTAGTCTAGTAGGGGATACAGACAATAGACAAGATAAATAAGTCAATTACACAGGATAATAAAAGGCGGTAACTGCCAAGGAGAGAAGGAGTGAGGGAATTGGGGGAGTATGGAGAAGAAGGGTGCATTTTAAAATAAGGTGAAAGGGTGGCATGTGAATAAGATTTTGAAAGCAGTGAGGGAATAAGCCAGGCAGATAACTGCAGAAACAGCATTCCAATTATAAGGACCAGCATGTGCAAAGGCCCTGAGGTGTGAATCTAGTCAGGAAAGGGTCAGGCAAGTTTGAGGTACAGCAAGGAGGTCCAGGTGTCTGAAGCAGAGTGAGCAAGGGGGAATAGTGAAGAGTGTGGGACTCAGATCATGAAGAACAGGAGGGTGGGGTGGGAGGAACACCTGACCCATGAGCCATGTAAGGCAGAGAAATCATGTGGTCTGGTCCTACCTAGGCATTAGGGGTGAGTTAATTAAATGTTTGACCAAATCTAGCAGGCTAATTTTAAAAAAATATATTTTTATTGATTTCAGAGAGGAAGGGAGAGGGAGAGAGAGATAGAAACATCAATGATGAGAGAGAATCACTGATTGGCTGCCTCCTGCAGGCCCCACACTGGGAATCAAGCCCACAACCAGGGCATGTGCTCTGACCAGGAATCGAACCATGACCTCCTGGTTCATAGGCCGATGCTCAACCATTGAGCCATGCTGGCCAGGCAAGTCGGCTAATTTTTAAGTTGATAATTTCGTTTTAAGTTGATAATTTCGTTCGAATGATGTTATATAAATATCCAATATAAATATCCAATGGCCCTTGGCACAAAAAAGGTTCCCCACCCCTGATCGAGCCTTACAGCCATTTTAAGGACTTTGGCCTTTACTGTGAGTTGGGATGGCATTGAGGGTTTTAAACAGAGGAGTGATATAATCAGACTTGAATATTTTTAAAGGACCCGTGTGGTTGCTGTTTTAAGACCAGGCAATAAAGCCCTAGCCAGTTTGCTCAATGATTAGAGTGTCAGCCCTCAGATTGAAGGGTCAAGGGTTCAATTCCAGACAAGGGCACATACCTCAGTTGCAGGCTCCATCGTCGGCCCTGGTCCAGACCAGTGGGAGAGGCAACCAATCGATGTGTCTCTTTGACACTGATATTTCTCTCTTTCTATCTCTCCCTTCCACTCTCTCTAAAAAGATCAATGAAGAAAATATTCTCAGGTGAAAATTAACAAAAACAAACAAACAAAAAAAAGACTAGGCAATAAGGAGATAAGGGAGGGGACAGGGAGGCCAGTTAGATAACTATCCAGGAGACAGCTGGAGGAGTGTTGGCCCAGGTGATACATAGGGATCTGCTGATGGATTGGCTATGGGATGTGAGAAAGGAGTCAAGCGTGACTCCAACAATTGAAATAGAATTTACTGAGATGAGAAAGGCCGCAGAGAGCTCTCTGGGGGGCCTTGGAAGCTCGGTTGGGACCAGTGAAGTTTGAGATGCCAGCAAGGTAAATGAGTCTGGAGTTCAGGGGAGGTATATGAGTCTGGAGTTCAGGGGAGGTATATGAGTCTGGAGTTCAGGTGAGGAATATGAGTCTGGAGTTCAGGTGAGGAATATGAGTCTGGAGTTCAGGTGAGGAATATGAGTCTGGAGTTCAGGGGAGGTATATGAGTCTGGAGTTCAGGGGAGGAATATGAGTCTGGAGTTCAGGTGAGGAATATGAGTCTGGAGTTCAGGTGAGGTATATGAGTCTGGAGTTCAGGTGAGGAATATGAGTCTGGAGTTCAGGTGAGGAATATGAGTCTGGAGTTCAGGGGAGATATATGAGTCTGGAGTTCAGGGGAGGTATATGAGTCTGGAGTTCAGGTGAGGAATATGAGTCTGGAGTTCAGGTGAGGAATATGAGTCTGGAGTTCAGGTGAGGTATATGAGTCTGGAGTTCAGGTGAGGAATATGAGTCTGGAGTTCAGGGGAGGTATATGAGTCTGGAGTTCAGGGGAGGTATATGAGTCTGGAGTTCAGGTGAGGAATATGAGTCTGGAGTTCAGGGGAGGTATATGAGTCTGGCTGAGGCTGTGAATATGGGAGTATTCAGGAGGCTGATGGTATTCAATGCCATGATCCTTGGCCTCGAGGGGACAGAGAAGAGGTCAAAGGACAAAGCTGGGAAACAGGAAACCACCCTACAAAGGAGCAGCCGGTAAGATCGGCGACCCGACCCAGGCGGGTGCAGACTTCCAGTCTTGCCCTAAGGACGCACAGAGACTGGGTGATAGCTGGAGGTGGGGGAAACGGATCAAGGGAGGATTTTTTTTAAGGTGGGATAAATAACTCTGTGTTTGTAAGCTGATGGGAGCAATTCAGTTGAGAGGGGGAATTGGTGAAGCAATATTGACACTAAATTGTGTTTTGCTCTAGATGCTCAGAGCATGGGTGATTTTTGTTGTCTCCTTTATGCTTTTCCCTATTTTCCAAATTACCTAACATGAATATTTATTAATTTTGTAATCAGAAAAAAAGCCATTAAAATCCACAGAGCTGATTGCTCAAGTGAAGCTTTTCCACGGTGACTCATCTACAGGAAACAACAACAACAACCAAAGGGCTGACAAGAACGAGGAGGTGAAGAAAAATTAAATGCAAATAGAGCTCACTCAGCATCAGATAATTTCTTGCCTGGCCCACTGCAATTTCCTCACCACCCTTCCCCCCTCCCTGCTCCTGTCCCCAACTCAACATTGTCACTGTCAGAGGGATTTTTCTTCAATGCAAATCTGACCATGTCAGAGACCTCCACGGGCTCCCTCGCCGTTTGGGGGATAAAATCTTGACCTCTTCACCCCGCAGAGGATGCCCTTTGTGATCTGGACCGGCCTCATCGCCAATCTGGGGCCCCCTTCCCCTCCCAGTCCCCCCTCTCTGCTCTTCAGCCACACCGTAATTACCGCCTTTTCAGAGCAACTTGCGGGGCCTCTTGTAGTCGCTCCCATAGCAACCTGCTCCACTCCCTCCGTGCACTCATCCACTCCATTGTAATCACTGCTTCACTCCCTCCGCTCCCCGCCCCCACCTCACTCAGCTCCCTGGATACAGACCAGTTCTCATCTTTGTATTTCCAGCACCTTGCCCGATACCCAGCACAGAGTACACACCGCTGTACCTGTGTGTTGAATGAATGAACCCGAATGAATGAACCCAACTCTTCTATCTCAAGCATCCCTCTGACCATGGGGATGTGGGGTGGGGGGACATGTCCCTCTTCAAATCTCTCCAGTGCCTCTGGCCAAAGCGAAGGCCTAGTTCTATCAAGCAAGCTCGCCCTCTTTCCTTTCCTTCTCCCATCAACTCATTCAGCCAGCATTTATTAAGCCCCAGCTAGGCGGCAGGTCCTAGCGTAGGTTCTGGGGCATAACGATGGATACGGAGCATGGTCCCAGGCCTTGTGGGGCTCAGGGGAAGAGGTGTGTGTCCCTCTGGGCATGCTCTTCCAGAACCTACCAATAGAGCAATTCAGCAGACAGTTGTTGAGGGCCCACCACGCAGGAAACACTGTGCCAAAAACCGGGGCTGAGAAGATCCAGAAGACAGAAGAAATCAGGCCTCTGCGTTAATCGCTGGAACAGCAGACCGGAGGCCAGAAACCTGAGTGGTGCAAAGCCCTTCCCCTCCTGTTAGCGCCTCTGAGCTTTCCTCCTCCTGGACACCTTTTCCCTTCATCGCCACAAATCAACTCGGCACGGCAGCCTCCCCCACCCCAGCTCCCTCTAAGCCAAAACTGGATCTCACATCTGACAATCAGAGCTTGATGTGTTGCAGACAGAGCGAGTTGGTGAAAATCCTGCCTGGCTGGCTTAGGGCTGAGAGTCCAGGGCATTTTACTGAAAATGAGTAAAAATTCCCCCCAACCGCCCACCTCCAGGGACTCCAGAGCTGGGGACCACAGTGAGGGGAGGGGGTCGGCAGGAGGAGGTTACAGGCTGACAGAGAGAGGATGGACCAGCTTCAAAGGAGCTGGGGGAGGGGAAAGGGGGAAGGGGGAGGGAGGCAGGGCTCAGAGGTGCCTCTGGAGCTATTCCTGATGTGCAGAAACCAACAGGAACTTTTTAGAGACCTTTTCATATCTGTTTGCCAAATGCTGCGGGGTTTCCAGGATGGAGAGGGAGCAGGGAAATGCAAACTTCAAAACGCAGGCATGGGCTACAATGAGAACTAAGCGCGATTTCTTTTGATGTGGTGGCCTCTCTTGTCTGTGGGAGTTTCCCCATTTTTGTTTGTGGGGATTTAATTAGAGAAATAGCCCACCCCCCACATGTGGAGCGGGAAACAGATGTGCCTGATGAGGATAAAAGTCTTTGAATGGACCTAAGTGCCCCGGCCCTGTGCTCGCCTGGGAAAGGAATGCCGCCTAATGCGTTTATCCCCTGGCATGTGGTGTCAAGTGTGTGCGCCGCAGGAGACTCTGTGTTCCCACACTCGGGGGAGAGGAGATTAGCTGCAGCACCGCGTGTTTGGGAACGAACCTCCGGGGACACAATGCCACAGGTACCCCACAGCCTCTGCGGAGGGTGCCCAACACATCGCTGGAGGAGGGGGGCCCCTGGGAATATCCTCGAAGACAAAACAATTGAAATAGAATTCCATAGTGTTCAGAAAAGACACTGGAAGGGGCAGCCACTAGGGGGGCCTGGGGAGAAGGGGCGCCCAAGATGAAGTCTCTCTTTGCCCTACCCAAGGGCCCGTCTGCAGCCACTTCTCCCAAAGCTGTTCCCCTGGGACAGTGGTCGGCACACTCATTAGTCAACAGAGCCAAATATCAACAGGACGACGACTGAAATTTCTTTTGAGAGCCAAATTTTCTAAACTTAAGCTATATAGGTAGGTACATTGTTATTAACTTAATTAGGGTACTCCTAAGCTGGCCTTTGCTAAAAACGTCCTCAATCTGATTGAGGTACGTTCGCTGAGGTCGACCCCTTCCAACTCTCCCATCCACACTCGTCTTGAATACTTGTTTCGTCTGTCTCCTTTCGTTCATCCTCTCTATATGTCCAAACCATCTCAATATACCTTTCTCAGTCCTCAACACTACATCTTCTTTCACTCCACAACGTTCCCTAAAATTAACTTAATAAACTTTACTTTTGTCACCAGCGCGCAATTTGTGGACGCGACTAGCACTAACCACTGCACAATGAGACTGCTGACTGACTGGCTCACTCAACTCGTGCATGAATCAATTGCACACACCTCCCCCCCTACCCCCCCCACCCCCGGCCCCCCCCCACCCCCCCACCCCCCTCCCCTGCGCTGCGTATCCCCGGCCCGCCTGCACCGTGTCTCCCATCCTGGGACAGACCGACACCCCCCACTTCTTCTAAGGCCACTTCTTCAAAATACACTCGCCCAGGCTGAAAACCGACTTCTGCGCATGGGCCAAGAAGTTTCAATCACACTGTACGTGTGCGCCCGCACGTGGTTTTTTGTGGAAGAGCCACACTCAAGGGGCCAAAGAGCCGCATGTGGCTCTCGAGCCGCGGTTTGCCAACCATGGCCCTGGGAGAATCTTGCCCGGGAGAGGGGCCTCGGACGGAGAGCCTTGCGGTGGAGGGGGGCAGGGAAGCCACAGCAGGGCTCACACGGGGCTCCTCTGGCATGAAGGGACTCCCTGGGGATGGCTGGGACACCACGGGGACCCGGAGGGGCAGTCGGGAAGCAAGGGGGGCCTCCAGAGCTGCCGCACGGAAGCCCAAGCTACTCCCTCCGGCTCCCTTCTCCACCTGAGCCCTGGTCTTCTTTCTCCACGTTGAGCCCGAACCAGAAAGGCAGCGCTGGGCGGGCCTCACCTGGATGTCCTTGATCATGACGCTGTAAGCGAGGCCGTGAGACTCCAGATAATCTTTGACGTCTTTCAGTTCAGAGAAAGGAACTCTCATGTCCACAGGGAGGCTGGGCCTGGCCGGGCCACGCCAGAAGTCCACCTTGTTCACAAACGAAAGAAAAACGGGGGCCTGTGTCCCCTGTCCTTACACATGACCCTGTAGGCGCCCTGGAAAACCAGGTGATCTCCTACAGAGAGGAAAGGGCCCCGTTCCCTGATGAAGCCCGAAGGCCGAGCAGGAAGATGTGCAACAATAAAAGATCCCCCGGTCACTGAGTTTCTGTGCCTGAGTCGGGGCCCTTTCATCGCCCAGGCTCACACGGCAACGTTGCCCCGGTCCCAGAGCCCAAAGCAGCTGCTACAAGAGAGACAGCTCCTCCTCTGGGACATGAACATGGACAAGAACGTGGTCAGAAGACAGAGACCTCGCTGCCCCCAAACCTAAAAAAGTAGGAGAGGCCTCACCCGGAGTCCCAGGTCATCCGAATGCTGCGTCCATTTTTCAGTTTATAAAATAGACAGAATTACTATAAGGCGTCACGAGAGGGGGCTGGTAAGGGCACTCATACAAATCGGAACGAGGGCTCTGGGCCACATCCAGAAATAGCTGGTTGTTTCAACAGCCCTCAAACAGAGTCCTTCTATTACAGTCGTTGACGGAAATGTTTTCCATTGTGGAATACTCGCAGAGGACAAATGTTCTTGGAAACCAATGCTCATCTGACAGGGACGAGCCCAAATAAAACACAGGTTTGCCAAGCAAAGCCCTTCCAGTTCTTTCAATTGGCAAACAGATGTGCCCAGTCTGCGTGCTGCATGGCATCCCACCCAGAGACAGATGTGCCCCCCACCCCGTGTGGCTTCAGGACATTTTAGCTGGATCCAGAGCGGCCCCCACAGGGTCCCCTCAGCGGCCCATCCAGGACAGAGGGGAAAGCCAACAAGAGCTGCCCAGCCTTCTGGGCAAGTGCTCCCAGCCTTTCCTGAAGAGGAGCCACCGTTGATTTTTCCATAGTTCTGTGATGTTTGGCAGAGCCATCAGAGAGCAGGTTTGGGGCAGGGGGCGGAGGATGGGGGGGTGGGGGGCTGGGGAGGGGAACCAGGGAGCCAAAGGTGCAAGCCACTGTGAGAGAAGGGAGAGCATGTCCCCGAGCCCTGAGCAGTCCTCACCTTCTGGGGCTTCAGGCCCTCCAGGTCCCTGAGAAGGGAAAGCTGCATCTCATTTTGAGCCAGGATTCGAAGAACCTGGTCCCTGGAAAGACACGGGAGGGGCAGAGGGAGCGGCTGAGAGGGGTTCCTGGAAGGCTGTGCTGCTTACAGGAGGCAGCATGGAGAAGACACCGGGCTGAGGGGGCCTGGTAGGCAGGCTGGGGGGCACTTGGCCACATGAAGGCTGAAGGACTGAGCAGAAGGGCTTGTAGCTCTGGGAAGCCTGCAAGTCCTTCATCCTGGGGCCAGCAATCTCTGCCAAGAACAGACCACTCAGTGGACCAAATAAACCCGTCTGTGCTACTAATGAACCCAAGGACCAGACAGGGAAAGAAAGATGGGGAAGGAATGAGGGGGGTGGAGGAAGGTGCAAGAACAAGAGGACTGAGGGAGAAAGGAGTGGGGTTATAGGATACTGGGGTTACAGGGACAAACGATGGCCCAAGTGCTCTGCATACAGCTGTCCCAAGGCCATGGTCTGTCTACACCTGGTGCCCAAACTTCTTTCTCCCAAGAGCTTGAGGACATGGAAGGGGAGGTCGGCCTCACTCTGCCTTCTGGGGAAACTGAGCTCCCCCCTGTCTTCCTGGGGGGAGTGGGAGGCGGTGGGACTGAGCAGCCTGCAGCGTGACCTCTAGGGTCTGAGGCCTGGGATGGTGTTGGCTTTTTCCCTGACTGGCTCTGAGACCGTGGACAATGGACCTGCTCTCTAAGCTTGTACCTTCCTCTCTAGTGCGGGGTCTTTGGGAGGTTGGGAAATCGTGTCCTTACTGGCCTGGTGTAGAATACTGGTGCTTGTGTTATTTAAAGGAGTATAATCCTACATCCATCTGTGGTAGGGGGTATAGTTTTTGGGGGTTACTAACTTCTTTAAGAATCTGAGGAAAGCTATGCACCCTCCCCCAGAAAAAAAATACATACCCCCAAAATTATGTATGATTTCATGGGTTCTTAGAGCCCTAAAAGCTTAACCCAAGAGCCCCAGATTGAGAATTCTAGGTTTGGGGCGGGACAATAATACAGCCGTGTGTCCTACCCTTGAGCATAGCAGTGGGAGACTGCGGAGTTGGAAGTGGGTTCAGGGCGAGAACCGAAGTCCTGACTCTGGGTGCCTTGACCAGGTCCCAGCGGACGGCCACCTCCCCACTGGGACACCCAGCCCTCGGGCGCCTGGCAGTCCTCCCTTCTGCTACGGAGCAGCCACTCACCCTGTGAAATTCATTTGGCCCAAAGCTGCTGCCAGGATAAAGCTGCAGACCAGGAGCGTCCATCTGTCCACCGCGGGCAGCCCAGGGCCCCAGCCTCCTGTCCGGGCGCCCTGCATGCTTCCTCCTCCAGGTCTCAGGCCCGGCAGCACCTAGAGGCCGGCAGCCCGGCCTGAGAATGGGCGTGAGGCTCTCTCTGGGGAGGCCCAGCCACACACTGGCGTTGGGAGAGCTAAGGCCGCCCCTTCCCACTTCTGGGCAAATCCTCTCCTGGAGAAGGGGGAGGAAAGAGGGAAAGAGGAAGACAAGGCCCTTGGCTTTCTTTCTTCCCTGGAGGTTACTGGGCCAGCATGTTGTGAACGTCAAATCCACCATCTTGAAAGAAAGATAAGAGTAACTAGAGACCCAAGGAAATCACTCCTTTCCTCCCTCCTCACTTAGTTCTTTCCTGTTTGCTCTCCTCCCTCCCCATTCACTCACACTTTCCCTGGGCCATATCCTCCTTACACATAAGGGTGTGGGCGCCTTTGAGAGAACTCTGGGTTTAGAGGCAAAGACGGGTGCTCACTTCCTGTCTAAAAGAGCTGGGGCAATGGACTTCATCTCTCTAAATCTCAGTTTACTCATCAGTCAAATGGGGTTAATAACACCTCCCTTCCCTATCTCACAGGGGTTCTGGGGGTGGGTTGGCAGGGGGGGAGGGGCGTATTAGCAGAGACAGCTTGGGTGAATTGGCTGGGCAAAGCCCTCAAAATGGAATGTATTATTATTTCAAAGACGTTAACTCTTAGTCACAACTGCATCTTAGGTCAGTGCTCCCATTGCAACGGAGAAGGGGAAGAGAAGAGAATGGAGAGGGGAACCAAGGAAACGTATTGCATGAGAAGGAATTCAGTGAAGAGTCCCTTTTCTCTGCCTTCATGTGGTCCCCATTATGCTGGGGTAGGCAGTGAGTTTTCTGCTGGACAGGAAGGTCCCTGCAGTCATTATTATAGTTCTCAACAGACAGCAGAGTCAATTTCTCGGTCCTGCTAAAGCCCGGCACAGCCCCCTTTATGGTCCGGCAATAGCAGGAAGAAAGCAGAGGCCAGCACACACAGCAGTCATATTGGAAGCAGAGCCTGAAAGATGATGCCTGAATGGTAAACGATGAATCTAACAGAAAAGCCACAGGAGGCAGAGGACAGGCAGAGACGGACGAAATCCAACAAAGTTGTTCAGCGAAGGATGTCAACAAAAGGCCACTTAACTGTCACCAGCCATTCTCAGCAGCCCCCCTCCCCATCTGTACCTTCCCCGAATGGCCAATTAACTGGCCATGTGTGCAGAGAGGGGAGCTCTTTTCCTGACAGAATGCCCTGCTCCCACACCCCGCTGGACCTACGCCATTATTTCGTGGGTCAGCTGCTCAGACATGCCAAGCTCTCCTAGAACCCTGGCTTTGGGAACTCTCAGACGGAAACATTAGCGAAGGGTTTAAGGGCCTAAAAAAGAAAGCAATTACGCTTTCCACCCAAGTAACACTCGGCGTTAGTAAAAACCGGAATAAAAGGATGTCTTCGTAAACAGCAGCTCAGGGATTTAAAAGAAAAAGTGGGGATGGTGCTAGTCACCAAAAGTACCCAGCATCTTCTTGTTCAAACGCATCCCTTTAAGACACTAGAAACAAGACATCTATCTCTGTGCTTGGTTTGGGGCTGGAGAGAAAGAGATCAAGAGCAAGAGAGAAAGAGAGAGAGACAGGAGCCGTTAAGAATTCGCCAGAATTCTGTGACAGCACTTCCAGTAGAACTTTCTGTGATAATGGAAATGTTCTCTGTCTTCGCTGTCCAATAGGATAGCCACTAGCCACTAGCAGCTGAAGAACTGAATTTTTCATTTTAATTCATTTTAATAGCCACACGTGGCAATGGCTGCCGTCTTCACAGCCCTAAAACACTGCCTCCAATGGTGGATTTGAAGCAGAAACACACAGCTGTGTTTGATCTAATACCTAATATTGGTGTCTCCCTCAAAATTAATTACTCATCTAATCATTTATTCAATAAATGTCTACCTACTCTGTGCCAGGCACTTGCTAAAATCTGGGGATAAAATAGTCGTATAGACCTGGCCCTTAGATTTCTAATGGGGTAAGTAGAAAATTAATTTAAAATAAATATAACAAGAAAATCCACCCACCTGCAGGAGAAAATATAAAAAAGAGTTCCCTGAAGCCTTTCCTCCTAGAAGAATATACCTTGGATTTAGGATCATTTGCCTTCTGCTTGAAGGATACCTTCTAAAACATTCCTTGAGTGAAGTTCTCTTTTTTTATTTGTCTGAAAATCCTTTATTTCGCTGGGTTTCAATTCTAGGTTGATTATTATTTTTCTCTCGGCGTGTTGAAAACATCCCACTGTCTTCTGGCTCCCATGTTTTGCTGCCAAAAGGTCATCATTGGTCCATTTACTGCTCTTTAGTAGGTGAGCTTTTCTTATCCCTGGTTGTTTTGATGATCTCTTCGTCATTGATGTTACGCAGTTTTATTTTTGTGTATTCTTCAGCTACACCACAGTGTGTCCAGGTATAGATTTCTTGAGTTTATTCTGCTTGAGATTCATCTGGACTCCTGTATCTGGGGATGGCTCTCTTTCCACTATTTTCACAAATTTCTCAGTCGTAATCTTTTTCATTCTATTACCTTCTGGAACGTTTTATTAGCTATCTTAGGTCTTCTCATCCTATCCAAATCTCTTAATCATTCTGCTATATTTCCACTTCATTGTATCTCTAGGCTACCTCCTGGACAATTTCTTTGTATCAAATATCTGTTTCATTATTATTATTATTATTATTAAAATATCTGTTTCTTTATTCCAGTTAACTGATTCTCCCATCAGCTGAGTTTAATCTATAATTGAATCAATCTGCTGAATTTTAAATTCCAATTTCTTCAGTTCATCAATTCTGAAACAATTCCCCCACACACACTTTTTAATACCTCTGAAATCAGGGTGTATCTTATAATGAGTGGCATCTTGCAATAATAATTGGCAGTGTTTCTGATGGCACATAACATTCTGGTGCATCTTACAGTCAATTGTGTTTTATAGTCAACACAATATGGTATTCATTTTCACAAGTTCTATTTGATTTTTTTCAAGTCCAAATGACTTAAATTTCTTATCTATTTTAGAGCTCCTTGTTTGTTGCCTTAAATTTTTAAAAGATAATTATTTTATATTCTATGTCAGATAATTGCAAAATCTGAAGACGTTGCAAGTCTATTTCTGTGGTATATTGTTTCTGCTGGTTCTTACTCGTGCTGCCTTGTCTCCTGGCGCCATTCATCTGTGAGCCAGTCATTTTCTTTGGACCTTTATCTATAGGAAGCCTTGAGGCTTGGATCGAAGTGGAATTCTTCAGGGAGGATTTGCATTTACTTTTGTGAGTTGCCTGGGAGGCACTGCCAACCTGAGACCAGCCTAAATTAAATTATTTGCTCGAGTTGGGGGCGGGGCGGGGGGGGGGGTTACCACATAGTCAGCGCAAATTTAGATCACAAGCTCATGGGGCAGGGGCGGGCTACTTGTTATTGTGAAGTCTCAGGGGATATGTTCTTCCTGCTCACCTAACACCAAGGTTTTAAATCCTGGACAATGGTAGCATATTATTTGCAAGTGGGTGATCAGAGTTAGTGTTTTAAGGTCCTGTGAATTGTTAGGAGAAAAGGCAGATACTGATAATTTTCTAGACTTTGATTAGTTTGCTATGTTCAAATTTGCTAGAATAAGAACTAAAAGACTACAAACAGGTAGAAAGGATAAAGATGAAATGAGAAAAGCGGGTGGGGGGATAAAGGAAATGAAAATGAAAAAGAAAGGTTTAAGAAGGAATTTTTAAGAGTAGACAAGTAGAAAGGACATTTTTTTTAAAAAAAAGAAACTCACCTAAATCTATTTTCAATCGTACTAAATGTAAAAGAGCTTAGCTCTCCGGTGAAAGACAAAAAAATATCAGAATAGATTTTGTTTTATAAAACCTACCTATATGTATTCACAAGAGATATGCCTAAAGAATAAGAACAAAGAGAAACTTAAAGTCAAATACGGAAAATGGATATTCTAGGTAAATGCTAACCAAAAGAAAGCAGGTGTCAGTTTTTTAATATAAAATGAACTTTAAGGCAAAGGCATTATCAGAAAAAATAAGGGAGTCACTACATAATGATACTGCTTTCAACTTCCCAAGAATATTTAACATAGAAAAATGTTCGAGAATAATTCTGACAGATAATGTGCAATCCTTCCAGAAGACAATTATAAAACTTTATTGAGAAATGCTAAGGTTCTAAACAAATCCAAAGATATACTATATTTTTGGATAAGAAAACTCAATATCATAAAATTATACATTCTCCCCAAATAGATCTAGAGATTCAATGTGATTCCAGTTCAAAAGCCCAACAATCCCACAAAACTTCACAAGTTGATAAAAACATATCTGCAAACATAAAGATCCTGAGAAGAGTCAAGACAATCCTGAAGAATAATTAAGTGGGAGAGCTTCCTATACCAGACAGTAATATTTTTTAATATATTTTTATTGATCTCAGAGAGGAAGAAAAAGAGAGATAAAAGCACCAATGATGACAGAGAATCATTGATTGGCTGCCTCCTGCATGCTCCCTACTGGCGATCAAACCCGAAACCCAGCCATGTGCCCTTGACCAGAATCGAACCTGGGACCCATCAGTCCGCAGGCTGTCGCTCTACCTACTGAACCACACTAACTAGGGCAAGACATTTTTATTTTGTCTTGTTTTTTGTTAATCCTTACCTAAGGATGTTTTTTCCATTGGTTTTTAGAGAGAGTGGAAGTGAGGGAGGAAGGGGAAGAGAGAGAGAGAAACACTCATGTGAGAGACACACATCTATTGGTTGCCTCCTGCACACACCCCAACCAGGTAGATGCTCATGTTAGAAATAGAACCCAAGACCTTTCAGTGTCCACGCCAATTCTCTAACCACTTAACACCACTGGCCAGAGCAGTAAGACATATTATAAAGTTATAGTAATTTAGACAGCAGAGGACTGGCACAGATAAATAGAACATAGCACAGAAACAAACCCAAGC